GCTCATTAATCGCGACAGCCCATATATTATTGAGTGGATAGTGCGCACTTGACGGCAAAGTGCAGTTCCAAAAATGTAGAATTATCAAGCAAGCATTGTTAAAATAAGGCAGACACTGATAAGAAAAAACAAGCATTCTTAAAGCGTCTAATTCCGAATAGAGATAAGAATAAGATGAAAAAGTAGACCTTTCCAAGAGTTTTAGACCTAATGTCGAGAATAAACCTATCAGTTCTTCAAATCGAAGTTACGCAATAGCAAATTGGGGTATTTTCAAACTTGATATAGACCACTCGAAGATAAACAATTATATGTAAAACGGTAGCGAGCAGCGGTCTTCAACAGCTTCTTCAAATATGATGTTAAATTTGCTCATTTAGCGGAGATTGTATCCATAATGGTAAATTTCGAAAGAAATTTCTCTTCTTTTGTTTCAAAGATTCGAAGTTGAATATGGGCATAAACGTGAGCCATGCTTTCATATGCCGTAGAGCATAATGGCTAGAAAATAATGGCACTGCAGAAGCTGACAAGGTGATAGCCTTCCTTTAAAGAAATTTGAATGATACATTTTCACTTTTCACTAAACTGACGTCAGCTGATAGGAGAAATGATATCTATGTGTGCAAGTAATAAAAAGTAATGGAAATGTAAGATATGCATAAGTTTCAGCAAAACTAACCAGCCTGTATCCTGGTCCAAAGCCTTACAGTAGTATTTGAAATTTGAACGCATTAGCACCCGTTTAACGTCTCCTAGTGTGATTAAATCGGGAGGCACATGGACTTCAGTGAGGTATGGAGTTGGTTCATCGTCTATATGGTAGTAAACCTAAAATGTGTCTTGATCGAATCATAAATGCAATAGCACCAATTTTCAAAAATTCAAATAGACTAGTTAGAAAACTTCAAGCAATTTTACTTGCAAGATATACTAAGAAAAAAAACTACCTTTGTACTAGTCTGAGGAAATGGCTGATTTGTTATGGTGCTTGGTGGAACGTCAGACACCATTGAAACTTCGCTTTCTCCCATTCCTGATAAACCGCTTGTAGCTAAAAAAAAA